TGAGAGAGGCCATGCAGACGAGCTGTGGACATTTCTATTGCCAATCTTGCTTACCAAGTCTTATTCAGTAAGTTTTTCGTTAGAGCCATATTCAATTGAGTGTCGCAAGTAAAACGAGATTGTCTTGATTCTGCTTCACTAAGCTCTGTGATTGACCAAAAATATAATCACGTCAGTGCCATGGCCACATATCCATATACCCATTTTCATACTACCAACTTGTTACTCGTGTTTCACCGCCCTCAGAAAGGGTTGTTTGGATTTAAAAAAAAATCCAGGGTCTCTTTGTGATACTGAACTTCGTTCTGATGTGCAGTTTAAATCACTTCGGTTTCGGTATTTCGACACTCAAGCGAAATGCGTTCTAAGTCTGCTTTGATAAACATTTGGCAACAACCTCTTCCTAAAGCCTAGAAGGGAAATTCATGGTAAAAAATTTCTGGGATGCTGCGCCAGACAGAGTGAATTATTTCACTTTAGGAGGCAGCAATTACACGAACATAAGTATAGAATAAGGTAAGGAAAACTGCCACTAGGTGTCAGCAAGCACTTTCTTACCAAAAAAAAATGAGCACTTCAGGGGTGTGAAAGGGAGAGCTTTTTGAATAGAGGAAGGGTATATGGAAGGATGAGAATTAGGAATTCGGGGCGGAGAATCCCTGTACAAAATGATTAACCAATAGACATACGATTTTCCAGTGTCTAACAGGGGCGTTGGCTTTGAAAACGAAAAACAGTAATGTGTTATTCTGGAAAAAAAGCAATATTTCAGGTACAAGAGATCATGTACAGTTTATAATCTCTGCTCAGGTATTATTTTTCTAAGATTACGGTTGTAGCGACAAATTAAAACACTGTCTTTGTTTTGTTCGTTGTTTTCTGATGGAGCTTTCTCTTTGGCTGATTGTGCGCCAAACCTTCACTCCCTGAGAGATAGTGCTACTGTACATGGTCACATAACTGTCTATGAAACAGTTGGATAGAGGACTGTTTCCTTACTAAATTTGTTCTGTATATTTTATTCTGCTCGTTGTGATGAACAGAATACCTTGGCTATTATTGCCCCTAAAGTTTTGTTAATTTGATGATACTACTCACTAGTAAAACAAAATCTTACCTGGCAATATAATTTCTGTATGCATCAGCTTCCTGAAGATAATGACGGCTATATGCGAGTGGAACAAATTGAAGTCTTATGATTAAAGCTGTAGATATTACTTGAAAAGCCTTACGTAGTTCACTCGCACCTCAATTCACTCCTTAAGTCACTTTCCAGTTTTAATCCCCTTCCCATACAAGAAAAACTTCTACTTTTCTCCAAGATGCAACCAGCTAATTCTTAAAAGGAAAGAGCTCCTGATACCTCAAGCAATTTTTTTAAACTCTGAGGAAATAACAACTACTCTCCTCATTACAGGATATATTACTAACAAAAATGCACTTACACGGTAGGTTTCACGCCGTCCCTGCTCTCCGCCAATATATCAAGGGGATCCATGTTGCTTACTGGCTGATATATCTGTCTCTGGATCCAGGGTCCCCTCCTCAACTTCCCCCCTCAGTTATTCCCTCTACCAATTTTCCGTCAGTGAATTCAGGGAATTCTAGTTGTATACTGGCTGTCGGACCTCCCTCTGAGTCTAAATCCCACTCCATTCCCGATGATTAATCTATGGAGTTTTGTTATGTCCACCATGACCGAGCCCTGTAATGAAGAGGATGTCTTTCCAAGCACAAACAAGAGTCGCATTTTTCCTTCATTCCAGTAAAAACGAATTCAAACATGGACTCTTACCCCATAAGCCTGCAATAAAACCGAAGGTCCCCAACTGCATAGTGGCAGTTACCTCCATCCTTCCACAATTCAGTTGCAGGAATTCCCC